TATCTACCAGTCACAAAATGTCACACTAACCTTGTGCAATAATGCACAAAATAACTTAGAGCCTAGGGTCCCAGAGATATTGCAGTTTTATAGCCCCCTTTATTGCAGCATAGGGCTTTTTATATCATCTCTTCTAATTAGAATGGTCATCCGCATGGGTGGTCCATTCTAATTAGAAGAGATAATTGGGATTAACAGGTGGGAATGAGATGAGAGAATCAGCACTTTGGAATGAGACACACCTTGGTCCGTGTCTTCAATTGTGTCTGGTCATCAGGTAGGATCAGCGCCGGCTCCTTAGGCTTGCGTGCCTTCTTCTTCTTCTTCTTGGTCTTGGCATTATCGGCGGCAGGTTCTTCAGCCGGGATTGGTCCGCCATTAGTTGTCGAAGAAGTGTGGGCAGATGACTCTGGAGCTGTGGAGCCGCCGGCAGCCCCCCGGGGCCGGGCGTGCCCGCTTTCGTGACAGCTCTCTCCACAGAAGATTTCCATTTGAGCCCTATTGGAGAAGAGGGGATAGTCCATAAAAGCTAATGTACTTCTTACAACAAAGAGCATCAATTGGCACTATAACATGTGTTGATGTTGTGTTGCAACGTGCCCAGAACATGGCCATCATCTCTTTCATCCATTCAATTCTCCACTGACACGTCCAAGAGCCTCCGCAGTAGCGAGGGTGGTCAGCGGCCAGCACGCGGTAGGGCCGGTGTCAGCCACGCGGCCAGACCGCGTGTTCCGGCACGCCACAGGCTGTGCCCCCAGTGCCAGCTGTACATATATCTTGTAGAGAAGGTCCTGATATAGTCACTGGCTTATAAATCTCACTCTGGTGTACAAATGTCCTTCCCCATATGGTCTGATTTGTCACAATGTCCCATCTAATTATGAGATAATGAAAAAATAACCTCTTGTGAGATTGTTAATACTTAATCATGGATGTATATTATACCAACCAGTATTAGTAACCCATCCTAAGGCCATTTTTTATTTTTTTATTTTTTTTTATTTTTTTTTTGGCAGTACTATTTGAGACTCAAGTGCAGTTGATAATATCATCCCACAAGGCTCTGGTAAGAGTGTCCGGGAATTCAAACCCGGGGCCCCGCAGAGAATGCATTTACGCACGAATGACAACAGTCAGACAGTGTGGGACTCAAGAATCATTATCTAATACCCACTAGAACTCTGCGTTATGTCGCATTGCTGGGATTCAAACGCCCGACTACCCGAGACCCAGAACCTTCAGTTTACCCAAAGGTAAGAACAGCATGGATTGCCACTACACCAGCTGTCCCACTCCTAAGGCCATTTTAACTCACAAGTTTAGCTAAAAAGCTTCTACAGAGACAAAAATTAAGGGTCTAGAGGGGGGACTGATCGACCATCTCTGTTGTCACTTTTTTGACATGTGACACCCCCCTTGGATTTTAGTCAGTTTCTGCGAGGAGAATAAGGAAAAACTCACATTTCTGAGGCCATGTGGCAACTTCTGACTCAGGAGTGCTTTCTGAGAATTTGCATTTCTGGTTCCTAAGAGCTGTGCTAAGATAATGATTACTTCTGATATCGAGATTTGCCTTGTGAAAGGTCAGGCAGTGTGAAGAATGGAAAAAGAACATGTACGTCGTTAAGCAGTAACACCTCAAAGTACAGATTGGACAGCTTGTTCTTGTGATTGACATGGGTAATAACTACACCAGTACTAGTGGCCCAGAAGTCACCAATAGTTCTAGTTAGGTCTTCGGTCCCAATCGTTTTAGAGGCAGTATACCAAACACGCAAGTTTGCAAGTGCATTGAGAATTATTTGTGGATCAGCATATGCCTAAGGATAGGTTGATGTTGGCAATATTTATTACAAGATTGTCAGGAGATGAGGGTCCAGGTGCCTAGTTGATACCAAAGCCAGGGGAACAACCCCACGGCCAACTACTTAAGTACAGGGCTATCTGCGCACGGACCAGTCACGTGATAAGTCACAGCTGTCACATCACATGCTCCCCTTACAAAGATGTCAAGAACAATATATAGTAGCATTGAAGAGAGGTAGATCTGCAGGTATTACAAGATAGCCAGTCAGCGCTAGTCAGCAACCTAAGGTGACACCAAACATTTCGTCACCCTTCGCACTGCTCCCAATCGCCATTCCTCTCAGCGTCACAGTCACAACATTTTCCACATTGCTCATTGTTTGGTGCCCAGTCAAATTTATTATTACAGCTAGCACACATGAGTAAAGCTTAGAAGTTGAGAGAGAGAGAGATGGGATATCTACTTTACTCTAAGGCTATTTTATACCTAGCCAGCATCTGAACCTATGGTGCTCTTAGCTTTGTGCGTGCTGCAGTCAACTAGTATTGTAACGGATCGAGCCAGCTCAGCTCGAATCAAAGCACACCCATCAGCCAAGCTGTGTTGACACCTGGCGGTTCTCAGATACCGTAATAAGTGATTTTTTTTTTGGGTATAAATAGGGCTAGAAAAGAATCTTTTTCTCACACATTGATTTTAGGTGTATAATCAATTAAAACAGGTGCCGTTTATGCCCAAACTCCCACAGTGATAGCATACTTTAAAGTTTTTACTTATATATGACTAAGATGGAAAGTGTGACTATTACCACCATGTATGTCATACTTGCCAATTTAGGAAACTCACTTAGACAACAGTGAAATATTGCAGTATTAGCAGCATAGAAGGGACTTGGCACTGGGGGACTTAAGAACTTAGAGATGTTGCAGAATTATTGGGGTATTTATTGCAGCGTAGGGCATTTGAGGTCATCTCTTCATATTAGAATATGCAGCCTACTGGGCCGTTCATTCTAATATGAAAGGATAAGTAGAATTGGTAGGTGATACTGGGAAAGAGGGATTACCCTACATCAGGTTTCATAGGTTCTGGCATGATGAAGTAGCTCATAGAACAAACAGCCTGACTGTCAGGGGAACCTCCCTTTCGGCCCGGAGACGCGCCCGATTCCGGTCCGACTCCGGTTCCGACTCCGGTCCGGCCCTCCATCTCGCCCGCACAATCACCGATCCGTCAACGCCCTCCCGACGGTCGCCCTGGGACCTCACCTGTGACGCCGCCCAAGCCTTCTGTGCCCGACAGCGGCAGCTACGGACAAGCAGTATATAGTCAGCTACCTAGCAGGCGGACCCTTAGAGTTTCTTCTCTTTGGATCCTCCCCTGCTAGGTCAGCTTCATTTGTATTCGCTTACCAATGTTCACGCCTTTGGATCCTCCCCTGCTAGGACCTTGATCTCAGGCCTCCGGGGTTGCCCTTACACTGACAATAAATATTCATATCATCATTTCCATCCTCTGGTCCCAAGTCAAATCATCAACCTTAGAAGAGTCACTGACAGAAATACTGTACTATTTCATTCAATTCTGCGGGCCTGTGACCTTAATCAGTCATCTAACGTGTAATGCAATAAATTCACCATGTGACAAGGTCTCTATTGATGATATTATGGTAGGCAGGCAGTTGAAGATTGTTGATATATTATTGTTTAATCAAGACAAATTTGATGGTAATTGGTAAACTTGCATGTAACATATAACCCATTTTGATTAGATTCAGTTTACGCGAGCGTGTAACACATCACCTGAACTTACAGTCAAAATGATACAGCAGTCAAGTTTGTACTGCTGTGTATAGCATGTTGTACCCTGTCCGAATGGAGTTGCATCTTACAGTTTCTAAGTTGTACTCAGATCAAGTTATCCTTACTTGAAGTTGTCCTGTTCCAGAAGGGAAGTTATACCTTGTCCAAGTTGTCCTTGCTAAGTTGTCTTTGGCCTAGGTTGTACCACACGGAAGGTGTCCTGTCAGAATGCCAAGTTGCCTGCAGGTGAAAATTAACTGTGCAAAAAAAAAATTTGAAGTTGTCTCCAAATTTGTCATTTTCCAGAAGATGTTGTTTATTAATGTTATAGGCATATGGGCGGTATACTGTATCAAAAGTTTTTCACAACTTTCAACTCTTTTTTTCAGACTTTTTACATACAACTTCAAGTAATGTGTTTCTGGCCAAAACAACTCCCAGAGGGATTGATACAACTTCTGATTTACGACAAGATCTTTTATTTTCTCAACTACAATCTTAACTTTTCATATAGCAGCTTTCTTCCAGAGCAACTACAACGTTGAATTTGTTGGTTGCAGGTTTTCAATATGCAGAACAACTTGAAAGTGATTGGCTGCAAAATCTTCTGCCACAACTACAACTTTCATATTATATATTGCACTTAAGCCAAATCTTATGTTCGTAGAGACAGTAATTTATGCTCCATATGTCTTATTACAGGAATTAAAAGCCATGGAACTTCAGTTGTTACACCATCAACAATTAATTTCTACAGACTAAAACAGATTAAAGAGGTATAAGGGTGTACCTGCTAGATAGTTGCAGGATAAGAGATTGCAAGTTGCACATGCATCTCTGAAGTTGTAAGTTGCATGTCCAAAGTTGCAAGTTGTTCCTATCAAGTTGCTCCAGAGAGTAATAGTTGTTAGCCATGAAGTTGGGTACAAAAACAACTAGTTGTATCATTGAATTTTGAGTAAAATCAAAGTTGTACCCAAATTTTCACTGTTTTGGGGAGAAGTTGTACTAAAACTTTTGATACAGTATACTGCCCATACAGGCAATATACTATTTTTTTTGACAAGTTTCTATCATACAAATGGCAATTATCTCTAGGCAACCATCACAAAATTAGTCGGTTCATTGTAACAGTTTTTGATGTGCACAAACCCTTGCAAGTGTCTCGCAAGCATACTGAAACCCTTGTCACTGAGTGTAAGGTGATCCCAAGTGGCTTGTGAGCTGGTCATAAATTTTGTCAGAATGATTAGTCTTATTATGGTTTGCAACTCACTTATAGCCACATTATTGGCCACTGAGTTTCACAACCATGTCTTGAAATGTCAACTGGATAAATTTGATTGCGATATCGATGAGTCAACAAGATAGCTAGGTAATTACAGATCTCAAGCCCCAAAGCATTGCCTCCATGCCTCTCTAGTAGAACGTTGTCGGAAAAGCTTCATAACGTAGTTGGTGAGTACAAGACATTCAACTCTGGACATCGGAGGCCCATCATATTCAGCAACGAGTTCTTCGACGGAGTTCTTCATGGGTAGATAGAAGACACCTTCGATGCGGGTGTACGTGCCGACGAAATCCCCTGAAACCAACAAATACAAGTCCGATGGTTGTTTGATGCCGCAGTGACGGAGGAGAGGAACAAAACGTGCCAGTTTCGGATGGATTTGGTGCAAAACATTTGCAAGAGCAGACATTTCTGCTGGCCAGTGTGCTTCTGGCGTGGTTGCGATGGAAGGTGAGGCAAGAATTGCCTGGGCGAGTGCAAGACATTCTACGCTGTTCATGACTGGGTTGACGAACACTCCTGATAGTTCACCCAGTTTTTTGAATGGGAGGTGTAATAAACGCTCGACGAGGATTCGAGTTTGCATCAAATCACGACCGACCAGGAACGCAAGATCGGCCACTTGATAAATTCCACAGCTATTGAGGAGGTCGAGATAGGAAGAAAGATCTGGTTGTATATTGACTAGAAAAGCAGTCAATGTCGGAGGATTCAAGTCGTTGGCGGCGGGCAATAGATTGGTCGATAACACGGTAGTATTGGTCGGCACGGTAGTATTGGTCGGCACGGTAATATTGGTCGGCACGGTGTCCTTGGCCGGCGAAGGGACATGAGTTGGCGAAGGGCTCTTGGTTGGCGAAGGAGTAGGGACGTTGGCCGGCGTAGGCGAAGGGCTCTTGATTGGCACAGGGCCGTTGCTATTGGTGGGCGTATGGGGGGTCAGCGCAGTGTTGTTGGTGAGTGCGTGCCCCGATTGAGTGTTCGCAACGGGCGGCATAACGTGGCACGGCAAAGTCGGACGAATATCGTTGTCGTTGGTGTAGTCGGTGGGAGTTAGCTGCACAGTTGCAGAGGCAATCGCGACCGCATCCAAGGCTGGATTATGCTCCACTCCCATTTCCACGTTCTCAATCTTGAGAATGGGGTCGATAGCCTCCTCCTTCTTCACGTTGCACTGCTTTCCCTCGGTCTTCTTGGATTGCCCCTTTGTCTGCCCATCCCCTTGGTTGAAAGCCTGCATGCAGCGTGGTGCCATTCTCGCACCCGACGTTATCCTCGCTCTCGATGCCATTCTCGCGCTGGACTTCATCCATATACTCCAGTTCATCCTGGCTCTCGCCGCCGTTCTCACGCTGGGCTTCATCTTCGTTATCGAGTTCATTCTCCTGGCCCTCGACGCCATTCTCGTACTCAACCCTATCCTCGCGCTCGAGTTCATCCTCTTCGCTGGCTTCCTCGCCCTCGGTGTCGATCTTATTCAATGTTCCGTGTTTCTGCGGAAAGTCAGATATGTCAACACACAGTACAGTACTGTACAACGCACATGTTTGGCTTCGTCCATATACTTTTGAGTGATGGCTAGAGCGGCCTTGTAGTCCCACCCTTCTAACCACTTTGCATCGTCTTCCACAGTGTCGACGACCCAGTTTTTATTCTCGCGACATCGGAATATGCTCGCAGTTTTACCCGAGTCATAGCCAAGGTATTGGGCTATCGAGAGAAGGGTGCAATCGTGATTTTGAAGGAAACGGCTAATAGCTCGTTGTCGTCGATTGAGGTCACCCAACTTGTAGTCGTCTTCGTGTGGCGGGGTCATTTTGCGTCTCTTACTGGAAAGGAGTTGGTAAGCGAATGAGATTGTTGTAAAAATAAGGCCTGACTTGGGTCTAGTAGAGTGCTCTGTGGCTCTCCGGGCCAAGCTTTTGCGGCGAATCGTCCTTTTCGGTGGCATTGTTGATACTTGAGATACGAACTGCCGGTGTTGAGCACCAGACTGTGGTTGTTCTAAGGCGCGACAACCAAGACTGGAGGAGGCCCAGAGAGTGTGGATGCTGTGGCCTGACTCGGAGGATGGAAGTTGAAAACAAGAAGGTTGCGCAGCAAATTGTATTGCTGCACGTGAAGCCGAAGCTTGAGGTTAATTGGACAACAGCCCAGTAGAGAGTTGTCACGGTTGACTCCAAGCTGAACGAGTGGAGAATGCATCTGGTTGGGACTGGTGAACGTGGCGGCGCAGAAGAGGAGTGTCACGGATCGGCCGGCGGGCAGAAACGTTGATCAGTTGTCAACACTTTCAAGTCTCACTCATCACAGCCAAGGAGGAGCAAGAACTAAGAACTAACTGAGAAATATATGATACATGTGTAGGACAGATCTATCTCGTCTCTGCTGTCGTCCCTCGCGGTAGCTATCTTCAACTTCACCCTCCAGACTGATGTCGTGGTTTGATGCTGGGCTCTCAAGTGACAGCTAGACTCTACGCAAGCGTGATTGCGAATAACTTGCGTGAGCTTGAGTCGCCAACAAGCCACCAGTTGGCAGTTTCGTGGTGGGACAAAGATCCTCGTCGTCCTCATAGAAACGATAGGTGATCCAGCAGCGGAGAGTCGCCTGTTACTAGCTTGTACGGAAGGTGGAGGGAAATTTTCTGCAGGAATGAGGTTGAATATCAGTATCGCAGGACAAGCGATCGTTCTTGCTTACCGTCTGCTAGTAGTGACCTCAACTGCGAATATGCCTGTACGATAACATCGATCTTCGCAGCAGGCTCTTCGACGCTCTCGTTAACAGGAATCGGGACCCTCTCGAGAAGTTGCGCCAGCTCCAGCTTTTCCTCTTGTCGAACGGGAAGCTTGAATTCATTTGACAACGCGAAGACACGGAAAGGTTCGAGGGTCGACATCGTTGGCCGCAGATGGTGGTTGTACGTCATCATCGAGTTGTAGGTCACGTAGTAATGCGACGCGATGCGACCAAGCTTAGTACTCTGAAATCGGCCTATGACCGTTCGTACTTGAGCAGCTGACATTTCTCCAACAGAACGGCGGCAGAATGGACAATGTCGGCTCGCTTTTGGATCAACCCGACATCGTTGTCTTGGTAGTCAACCCCGACACCATACATTTCAGCATGCGAACATACCTTGAAGGATGTTTTAGATAATCCAAACAACATTTTAAAAAAACTCACAGATAGGTGTAGCCGATCCACTGGACAGCTTCGTCTCGGTTTCTGATCGTTCCGAGGACTATTTCTGCATTGAGGTTGTCGGCCAGTTTAGACACGAATTGCGACTCGATCGGGAGCTGCTGATTCAACAGACTCAGGTAATATTGCAGCTCGGAGTGCTTTGTGATGATGATGCCCTCGCCGTACGTGTCGTTTTGTGGTTAACCAGCACGACCAATCATTTGGAGCACGTCTTGAGAAGAGAGTTCGACCCAACACCCTTTCTCGTGGTTGTATATTTGGGTGCCCTTGATGATGACAGTATGCGCCGGCAAGTTGACTCCCCAAGCGAGTGTTGCAGTACAAACAAGGACCTGCAAGGATCCGTCGGCGAACAGCTCTTCAACGAGGCCACGGTCTTCACGAGACATTCCAGATGAAAACCGAAACCGAAAGGAAGAAGGTCGCGCAAATTGCTGTCCTTGACGTTGTTTGCCTCCTCGGCTAGAATTTCGCGGACGGCAGCGTTAGGCTTGACAAATTGGGTAATCGTTTCCTTCTCGACGGCCATATCGCGCAAAAAACTTGGCTGTCTTTGCGATTTCTTTGCGAGAGTGCACGAAGACCAGGGTTTGGTTCTTACCCGCTTGATCCAGCACCTTCTCGTAGCAGACCTCGTTGGTGATCTGGTATCGCTTGATTGCCTTCTTCTCTGTGACACCAATGAACGGTTGTTGCAGCCCACAAGGCCTGTAGGTCGAATCAAAGTAGAAAAGACCCTTCTTGTCGTCGACACGCAGGAAGGTGGCGACATCCTGATAATTGGGAGGAGTGGCAGACAACCCCACAAGGCGGACGTACTCAGTTGTCTGCTCCATCCGTCGAATAGTTCGAGCGATGATGCTCTCCAAAACAGGCCCTCGTTCATCGTGCAGCAGATGAATTTCGTCGATGATGATTAGTCGCACGAGATTTGTGTAACGTGTCTGTGCTCTTCCGTGTAATGACGTCCCACTTTTCGGGCGTCGTGACGATAATTTGAGTCTCTGCAATTTGCTGTTTCGTCATTTGCGAGTCGCCAGTCAGTTCTCCAACGGTGATGCCGAAAACCTTCAGCCTGGACGAGAAGTTGCCGACCATCTCCTGCACCAGCGCCTTTATCGGGGCGATGTAAATGATTTTGAAGGCATCGAGGTCGAATTTTCCCGTCTCTTCGTCGCGGTGTTTGCCGAGCTCGTTGAGGATGAGCATAGCGACATTCGTCTAGGAAGGACATGAGGAACAACATATGTTCAAGTAGCAGAAACCAAACCTTTCCAGCACCAGTCGGGGCACAAAGCAGGATTGGCTCGTTTGCTTTAAACAGGATTGAGGCGTGGGACAGTCAAAGCGGGTTGAGCCCAAGTAGGAATGCTCGCAATGGGTACCGAATCCACGGTCCGTTTCGAGGGGCTAGAGTGGCGGTCTTGGGCACGTCGTGTTTCTGTTCATCGACGTCCATAGCATCGGACGGCTTGGATTTGCCAGCCTGACGATCCCCCAAAGCTCGAAGAATCCAACCCACGCCCCTTTCCCTCATCGCAACCTCCACGTTAACCCGCTCATCAGCATTACTTCGCATGAGCTTTGTGCACCAGGCGATGACATCGCGATTTTTGAGGAATCTGGTTGTGATATGGAAGCTTTGATATTCGAAGAGCTCAATCAGTTGGTTCTCGCAGTCGCGAAAAACTTGACTCGGAGTCGAGGATCGAGAACGGAGGTTGTTTTCTCGGCAGCGGTGACTGGGTCAGAGTAGATTTCTGCAACTTGACGTTGGACCCAGAATGCGTCGATGGCATGAGGGGAAACAGTGTCTTTGTCGGACTTGTTGTTGGAAGTCATCTCCAATGTCGAACCATTCTTCTTCGTCATCGTCCTGCTCCTCCTTCTCATCGAACACAACCGCAACTCCAACCTCGTCATCCAGTTCCATATTTTTGACGTCGGGGTCCCCCGAGGTCTCATCTTCGGCGCCGTAGTCGGTAATCTTTTTCGAAAGGCTAACAAGCTGCGAGAATTGTTCGTTGTTCACACTGACTGAAAGAATCTCTTCAATCTCGCGTTCTTTGTCGAAATCCTTCAGTTTCTCGTTTTTAAGAGTTTCGAGTACCATGTCGGGCAGCACTCCGAACAACAACATCTTGCGCCTGGTCTCCGAGGGAAGTGTGGACAGACGACAGGATGAGTTCGTAGACTTCGCGCGTTTGGGCCGTCATGGGTCGATAAGTAAGGCCCTCCACATCCTGGGTTGCCTCGATAATGTCGGTGTACCCAAACCCAGTGGCCTGTGTCTTTCGTTTGGCAGGCTGCTTCTCAGACGCATCTTGGCCGTCGGAAGCCTTCTTTTTCTTCTTTTCGAGGTCCTTGGGCGTTTCGCACTGAACGTGGGAGCCCATATCGCGAGGATTGACACGACCAACGAGTGAAGTTGGTGCACCATTTGGCTCCTTGTCGCGACGAGAGAGAGCTGACCGGTCGGCAGTCAACACAAGAGAGGAGATGGCGCCATAATTGTATCCGGACAAGTGCGGTTTCTTGCCCTGCCCTGCCATGAAGGAGTAGCCAACGAGTTATTTGGCAAAGGAAAAGTTTGGCGGAAAAGTTTGCGTTGGCGAAGGAAAAGTTTGCGCGTTCTGTTACGTGCTGAAACAGTATTTGACTCCAGCCGCAACCGCTCGACCTGGCGTGAGGGAAACGATGTCTTTGTCGGACTTGGTCTTTTTGCTCTGGGCAGAGAAGCTGCGAGAATTGCTCGGCGTTACGTCTTGCGCCAGGTCTCCGAGGGAAGTATGGACAAACGACACGTTGGGGCTATCCTGGGTCGATAAGTAGGGCCCGCTCCTTGTTCTTCGTCGTCCAAGACATTTTCGATGTCGAACCGTTCTTCCTCGTCATCGTCCGGCTCACTCTGCTCCGACTAACAGCTTTGATTCGCCAAGGTTGGGTGGATTGACTCGGAGAGGCAACTCAGTTCCCTGTTGAATGGTCGTTGAAAGAGGAAGAGCTGGTGGCGGCGATTTCAGCTCTGTATAGAGAGCTTCGGGATGGAAGGGCATCATTGATGGGAGAGGGTCGAAAGAGTTCGAAGCGGAGAAATGTGGCATGAATATGGTGTTTACATTCGCCACCAACTTGAAGAATGATAAGCATTTTTCGCAGAGCTTAGCCCTAGGACGAACCTTTTCTCCAGTCCGTTTGACATCTTGGTCTCCCCCTCACGGTATTTCTGGCCTCGAAGTCCCCACTTTTGATACTCGTCAGCACTGTCAGTCGTGCACCAAGCGACGCAAGGCACTCTTGAGCCACTGTTGGCCCTCTCGCAAGAACCATGGCGCTGACTTCCTCAGACATCTGCGCAACGATACGACTTCAGCTTGGTTTCACCATCGAGAAACCAGAAACAACTGACGAATTTGCCAGGTTTTTCTGCATGTTCTTGTCAAAAACCTCCATGGTTCTTCCTGTAGTCCTTGACTCCTCTGTTGACTGCTTCAAGTTGGCATCGAAAACTGTGCTTGCGGGGCGACAGCCGTTGTTCGAGGCATGACATGTCAGTCTCGATTCTTGCAAGGCCGTTGTGAACTCCAGGCCTGCAGGCAAGAACTTCAACTCGTCCACCTTGTTGGAGTAGAAAGCGCCAGGCGCTTGCGAAGGCCTTGGACAGAGAGGACCATCTTCAAGTTCGGTACTGTTAATACTAGTATTAGTTGCAGTCTAACTTGCTAGTAAATGAACGACAGAAAAGCATACCCTCGGTGCGCAATAGCCCGAGTACGTGTATGGCGCTAGCATTGGAAAGAGACTGTCGCCACTGTGAGTTGGTGTTGAATGCCTTCAAGACAGATGGCGGTGTGAAGCAGCCAACAAGTCATATGTCACACACAATCGGGCCGCCACCCGAGCCAAGCCTCACTGGAAAGACTTCCGAGTCAAGTTCAGCATTGCATTTGTGTCAAGTATTGGTAGCTAGCGGGTATAGAAGGCGGCATGGAATACAAAAAGCCGCCCTTAGGCTTCTTCAGAAACAGCTCGAGTAGTACTATCCTCTTCAACATCTGACAAGACCTCCACAACCTCCATCGATACATCAACAATCTCAACCGCAGACAAAGCGGCATTCATGGCACGAACCGCGGTCCGCAAGGAACCGAGGAGACTATTGGCCTGCGATCTCGCCGTCGTCAAGGTCTCTTCAGCTCGAACGAGCAGTTGGCGATCAGAGGCCTGCTCGCGGGAGAGTGTCGCCACCTGAGTTCGAAGGTCGACGATTGTGTTGAGGGATGATTCGCGGCTACGAGTGATTTCGATGATAGTCGCCCTGAGATTGGTGATCTTGTTGGTCTTCGCCAGGATCCCTTCCTCGAGGTTATTGATGCGCGTTTCGCTGGCGGCCAGGGTCTCTTCCAAACGTTCTGCGCGTTGGGCTTGTATCTTCAACGCCGCCTCCGCTCTGATAGCCTTCGCCCTCTCCACTTGCAACTCGGCCGCGAAACGAGCCCGCAATTCCTTCTGCGTCCCACTGGCAGCCCCGAGCTCCAGTCGCACAGCTTGAAGGGTTTCTTGCGTTTTGGTAAGGGTTTTGGTCATCTCGGTGTGAGTCGTGAGCAGGGCGACATGGTCAGCCAGAATAGCTTTCTGAGTTGCCGCAAGCTGTTCGTACTCCCCATTACCAACTGAGTACTCGTTAGCGGGTGGTGTACGGCAAATAATGGATGCCACTACCTTTGCTCCCGGGTCCATTTCGCTCTCGGGTCTCAGAACGTCCGCCTTCCGAAACACTATCGAGCGCGTTAGTCAATCAAAAGCAACACACTAAGTTTTCAACGCACAGACGAGGGAGCAACGATGCAATTGGGGACGCTGGACTGACACTGGCACTACCAGCACTGGCAGCGGCGGGAGTCTGGGGTCCAGCGGGAGTGAAAAGAGTCTCAGACTGACGAGCGTTCATCGCAGCGGGCGTTGTAGGAGCGGGAGTCTGGTTGGGAGAAGGGCGATAACGAAAATCAGAGTAACTAGACACGTTGTCGGAGCTTCGGTGAAAGTCGCCCATGGCTATGCTCGAAGGAGGAGGATGGTACTGGCAGTGGGCGAAAACCATGTCTAAGCTTTTAAAGCAGGATTCGAGATGATCGCAAGCATTGACAATCAAGGTTTAATGCACGGTCACTATGTGCCGAGCCACCGGATCATAGCAACAAGAATCAGACTTCAAGATAGAGCGGCCCGGGACTATTCGGTGATCATTAATCTTCCAAAACACTCTATTGCAGGCTTGGATATATCCAGTCAATTATTACTTGTAAAACCCAGACGGCTGCGGACGGCCTCGTCGCCCTGTGGAGATTCATCCTCGTCACTCTCCTCCTCAGTGGTCTCCTCCTCTGACTCTGAACTACTACTACGCCCATCCACACCTACTTCCTCGTCTTCCTCGTCTTCCTCGTCTTCCTCGTCTTCCTCGTCCTCCTCGTTTATAACACTCTTGTCCATGGGGTCTGGTTCATCCACCTCCATCTCTGCATCTTCTTCCACTGCTGCCGCTGACTCTTCAGGGCTTTCGTCTTGAACTTGAAACTTCTGCGCAACCTTCCGGTGGCCAATTACATCGACATGGTAGCGCATTAACATGTCTCGATCAACAACCCTGAAGAGATAGAGAGATCAGTGAGTGAACCAGTGCTCGTCATTGAACTCGACATACATATTAGCATAATGATATCTCCAATCTTCATCGTGTTCGGTTCTCTGGAGAAGTGCAGATTTGGGGAGGTAGTCTCGTGTTCGTCCGTGATGGAATGCAGGAATGAGATGGGATCCTCGTAGAACATCCTGCGGGTCAATAAAGCCAAAAGCGTCTGGACTCCCATGAGGCATGTAGCGGAGACGCGGCCAACGCTTCGCCTGCAGACCACATCGATAATTCGTGTCCCTTTGGAACCACCGAACCCATAGGAATTCCATACGTTGAGCCTTTGCTGGCCGGTCGGCCAAGGAGGCATAACAGTGGAATATGCCGATCAACTCTCCGTACTCGGGGTCTTGCGCATGCACGATAAAGAACTTGCGTGTCCGAGGATTGAGAACGTCTTGATCCCGTTGGACGTCATAGGTTGTGTAATTGACGCGCATGGTGGCATGAGTGTAGAGCAAATCCCCTTGAATTGCAACGCTGATGAGTTCTTCGTCGCTAAACTGCACATCATAGCCGCCATTTTCCATGTTGAGAATTCGGCCGCGAAGATGGGATTTGAGCCGATGTGCAAAATCCTATAGCTTGTCGGAACACGGGCAAGTTGGGCAGCAAGGACGGTACCTTCAGAGCAGGATCCTCTTCATGCACTTCGATATCCTTTAGATAATCAGTGTTTGAAATGCTTCATAACACGATCAAGGGTACCATCCGATCTATGGGTGGGCCGTCGCCCTCGCCCTCGCTCTCTGACTGATCAAATTGATCACTTAGAAGGTCTGCGAGATGCCAAAATGTTCGGGTTGAACTTGAAATATAATGGTGTTGCTCAGGAGGGACATAGGCGCGATATTTTGGGTTGCTTTCTGGTCGCAAGGCCATCTTGAGCCTGCGTTGGCGGTCGTTCTGTCTCCGACGAGAGACGGGCTCCACGGCGGGAGCGGCAGATGAAGCGATCGACTTGCTCTCTGCTGATTTGAAGCATTTTCTCTTTTCCCACATTCCCTGCATCAATCGCCTCCTCCTTTCGTGGGCAGCAATTTGACCAACGGGGTTTCGCTTGTTTGTTCGTTTATAAAAATGTTTGATGAGACGATCCGCAAGCTCGCCCTGGTCCGAAAATCACCGACTGTCCGACTAGCAAAGGGTAAACACCTACATTCTGCGTGGAGGTCGAATCCGTGGTCCCAAAACGAACGATAGCGTCCGGATAGTCCGGAAGCGCGTGGAGTTTGTACGTGATAAGGTTAAATGGCTTTTCAATTTTCTTGCTCTTCTCTTTCCCTGTTGTCGCGGCTGGGGTCATTGCTGGAGGCGTTGGTAGTGGATGCGGCAGCGGTGGGGATGCGGCAGTGGCCGCTCTCTCTGATTCATTTGTTGCCTTGGCGGCAGAGCTTTTCTTCTTAGCCCTTCGACGTTCTTCTCGTGGTAGCTCATATGTCTTGATGTCAGCAGTTTCTCGAGCGAATCGCCGGATAGTGGAACAAAGATTGGTGGTGGCCATTCGGAAAAGTTTGATTGACGAAGTTGTGTGCATTCGGAGTTTGGCGTAGCCGTGCCAAAGGGCGAGCTCGAAGCAGAGCTTGTCAATCAGTCCTTGATGCGATGGGACAAGCCCTTCAATGACCGGAAGAAGGCACTGCAACGGTCAAATCTCCCAAATGACTGCTTTGAGCAGCATACCTGGAGGATGTCTTCGTAGTCACGCGCCGCCGCATGTTTCAGCTCTGACACGTTATGGCTGAAGGAACGAATCGTGGCTCTACCAAATGTAGGAATCTGACGAAATCTGGGAATAGTTAGCATAAGTGTGGCAATATATCTGTAAAACACGAGCCTTTGATCGAATTCATCTGTTTTCTTGAGAGAATGAAGCATGCGAATGAGATGTACAATGATTGCCTTGGCGACTCCCAGTTCAACCTCGTGTAAGAGGTCTGGAACAAACATGGTAAACAGGTTGAAGGGGGTTTTGATTGTGTCCAGTTTCGAGAATGCATTCTAATTGTAAGTTAGACAAGTGCCCAAGGACGGAATAATTGGACAAACACGAGTGGGTACCCAGGAGTTTTTCTTGAGAATAGCGTTTAGGCTAGGGCCCTTGAGTGAGTTTCCATTACCGAAAATAGCTTTCCTCGCGCTTTCGATGTCCATACGTCGAGGGTGGTCGTCAATGCGAATTTGCGCTCGACGCTTCATGTCGTTGACAGTCCCCGTTTCCGATATCTGCTTCTTCTCAACAAAGCATCGGGGACATGGCCTCCCGCCAAGGCTCTTGATGGTAGCTAGAAGAACTCTGCAAATTTGTTAGACAACATCTCCAACCAGGTATAATATGCCATACTTCTCTGGGTAATCAGCCCCGTATATAAAAAAACGGGGGAAGACCAGCCGGACGATGCCATCCCAGCACTTGATTTTGATACCATTGTCGTAGGCGTCCATGAAGTCTTCGGAGAGAAGGAGTTCCCAGATCGAATGCATCAACTCCCGTTTCAGGTGTGTGTATACCTCGTCTGGCATGTCGCACCCGTATTGTTGCCTGTAAGAATCACGAACGGTGTCAGGAAGCTGTGAATATTCAGAAGAGTTCGATTGAATGAAGATATATGGCATTACCGAAGCAAAATAAGCCTGGTGAAATCCTGCTTTTGATGTCGGTTTCCCGCGAAAGTCTTTTGGGTGGTTGCCGAAAAAAGTGTAACCGGGCCATAGAGACGCTGTGCCGAATTGAGCCAGATGGGTAGCATCTGACCATTCCATGATGGCCATAACGATGCTTTCGATGGGATCGTCGGATGTTTGGGGTGGTGGGGGCTGGGGAATAGCGTGATACGCTTCGAGCATTGCAGCCGATGTATAAATCTCCCCAAATATCTCCTCGTGATTGTTGGGAAGTGGAGGGAGTCCATCCTCGTTGCGTAAAGAACGTGGTGGTGTTGTGATGTCAGGTGAATCGGATGAAGTTTGGGATTCGGGCACCGCCCTTAGAGAAAAAGGCGTTGTGTGAAGTTGTTTGAAGAGAGGTCCTTGGAGAGTTTCTCGTATGGGATCGAGAAGAGGTCGATAGTAGATGTTGTCCACAATGAACACAGGAGCACTGCGTTCGGCTTGATGAGAACGCCAACACAAGGCAATTTGAGCATCACAGAGCCACGAGTCCATCTATCATTTATTCCCAGCGGTTTGATACCCTTCTTGTCAAGCCGATCGAGGAATTTTTGCGTCGAGAAGGGGACGGGGAGGTCGTTTAATGAGACGCCGTCGGATTGAGCTTCAGCGTTGGGGAGAAGAATATTCCCAATGAAGCGATCAAAACCAGCAATGGATTGAGGATTCTCCTCTTCCACGTGGTATTTGATTAGGTGGGCAACGGAGGGATTGGGGAAGGGATAATACCAGGGCTCTGTCGGGAGTGGTATCGCGCTATCGACCTTGCCGACTTCGGCCCGATACAAGTCGTTAGCTGTCAGACTGGCGTCGGGGTCATGGGTGGGTCTGCGAGGATACACCTTGTATATGCCGAATTCATTTGGTTCGGTTTGTACCCACTGCGGCAATGGCAGTGATGGTTCTGGTTGCGATGGTTGCGATGGTGGATGAGGAACTTGAATGGGGGTAGGAATGGAATTCGTTGGCAGTTCAGCCAAACGCCGCAGCCTTGGGGCAAGAGGGGGAGCGGGCGTCATTGAATTTCGCAGGAACGCGGGTGCGGCGGGCAGGTAACCCACTTTTGCGATAGGTAATGGGAGGTTCTGGGTCAGAAATCTACAGTATATTAGGGCTAAGTATGAGCTTTTAGAAGAAAAACTTACAGGAATGGCGGGTGGAGGACTAGGAGGCCGCAGGGAAGGGGTCGACTTTGACCTTGCGACGATTGAGTCTTGCACTTGTGCGATATGCTGGAGGTGGAGCCGTTTGAACCCAGAGCAGGTTCGGTCATGGTTTGTTTTCGCTTCGTCGAGGTTTCTCAACGGGCGCTGACAAAGGTCGCATTTGTATTTGGTTTTAGGCATTGCGGTTTGTTGACACGTAGGTCAGGATAGGGAGACGGTCGGTTCTGAGGAGGACGACTCTAGCACCTCGGCCCAGTAGTAGTAGAGCCGTGGAGGGTTTCCATGGCAGAGTTCGAGGGAACGTCCACCGCTGCGACGTTGCCACTGCAACTTGAAGCTTGAAGTTCAAGTTGTGTCGGAGTAACCAGCTCGTCCACGCTGATCCGAATCTGACCGTGCGGCCCGGCCTCCGACTTCAGACTGAAAACGTTGCGTGCCAAAAAATATCAACGCTGATGGCATCGGTGCTTAATCCAAACGCCCCCAAATCGCCGCCGCCTGTCGCTCGCTTGCAACAAGCTTGACCTATAAGGACAAACGCCTAAAATGCAAATAGCGGCTTGCAATCTACCTTAATCATGTCTTATTCGTCTCCGAGTCAGGCTTCGCGCGTTGAACCCGGGCCAAGGTGCGTCATCCGCTGGCGAGCTCGCCACTCAAACCTCAAACTCACAGTGTCCCCTAGTAGCGCCCCGCGTCAGGGTCTTACCTTGGCGCAAGCACATCAACAACTACTTGCCTACCACCACCAGCTCAACGTGCAGCACGCCGTTCTCTCCTCGACCATTTCCGCGCCATTCACCACTCATATGGCCGGCTACAAGACTACACGCGATATCTTCATGCCGAACACAATCGTGCGACCGGTCTGGCGTTCGACAACGTCCAAGCCAGAATCCAGTTGGAGATCGACCTAACGCGCACACAGGCTGAGGTCGCTTCCCTGAAGGAGGACAATCGTCAATTGAGGGAATTCCTGGCAAACCCGTTCGTTGGATTCACGTTCGCCGAGGTCGATCAAGGGCAGAGGCTCGCGCAGACGCTGGATGGAGCGGGTGTTCTCATGTCCGAGTCCCCCTAAGCTTGAAGCCTTGCTTGCAGTCTACCATCACACCTTCCTTAACCCACCTTCGTTATCCTACTACGTACTTTTCACTCGGACACAAAAATGACCTGTTTGCGCGCGATCGCTTCCATCTGTCTGGTCTGAGGGAATGTGTCGAACATCTGAAGTGACGCTATTATATTGCGAGTGCTCAGTGGGAAGAAAAATGAAAGCCTGAGAACGTCACTCGGACTCTCATCCGTTCCTTCATGGGTCGGCCAAAAGCTGCTTCAAGAATCGACCCCCCCCTTGCCCACCGACCTGGCTAGCGTGCGAGGAATGCCGCTTCTTGTCTCTTCAAGTTCTCGCGGGAAAGCCAAGTGGAAGTGGCGTCACCAGCAAATCCAAAAGCTCGCGTCCTCTCTCCCTTCGCGTGCGTGTGCCTATTTCTCTCCCCCCTCCTTTCTTCGGATGCTCATGCTCTGCTGTAGCTCGTATTCCCACTCAGCAAGCATCACTATCGACCAGTAGATGGTGGACCAGCTTTGCTCGTTGGTCGTATCAATGTTCGCAATATGGGGCTCCCACGTTCAGCGCGAAACGCCCAAGGACCTCGAAAAGAAGAAAAAGAAGGCTTCAGACCGCCAAGATGCGTCCGAGAAGCAGCCTGCCCAAACGAAAGACAGAGGCCGCTGGGTTTGGGTACACCGACATTGTCGAGGCAACCCAGGATGTGGAGGGCCTTACTTATCGACCCAGGACGGCCGAAACGCGCGAAGACTACGAACTCATCCTGTCGTCTGTCCACACTTCCCTCGGAGACCAGGCGCAAGATGTTGTTTGGAGTGCTGCCGACATGCTGCGAAGATTAATGTTCTTTTGCAAGCGTACATCTCGCAGTTGAAACTAGACGGTAAGCAAACAAAGCATTCGCTTGTCCCGCGATACTGATATTCGACATGGTAGGCTTTGTGCTCGTTGCGGATATGGTTTTCGTGCAACAATCTGCGGGGCGGTAGGCGCTTTTTTAATCGTCCAACCTGTCTGATTTCTGCGTAGTATATTGCGTGCCATGTTCGAGATGTGTCTGAAGCGCGGTTGGGCTGCTCCTGCCAGGGCAGCCTTGGACCTTTGTAAAATGGTGGAAAAGCGCATGTCAGTGCTTAGATTTGTCCGCTTTTTTACGCTCTGATTGATTAGCTAGCTCTATGACTCCCTTGCGACAATTCAAAGGTGTCAGATATCATTGGATTGGAAAGGGCGGAGGGAAAGTAATTCGTGAGTTGATATCGTCTGACGTGATTCATCTGCTCACTATCATGCAGCCTTGGTATCGCTATTTCGACTTGGTAAGTTCATCATCACTACTTTATGCTATTCTATTCTTATCGAATGGCAGACACCACCGGAAATTGGAGAGCTCAGCGGTACCCTCATGCGGGTCGACTCGTACATCAACTTGTGCATAACTTCCCAAAGCTTCGGTAATTTTTGTCACTCGCTCTGTTTTCCTCACACTAATATCCTGTCAGATTGCAAGCACAAGTTCAGCCAATCACCCGCTCGCTTCTTCGGATTGACCCGTCCATAATCCCCGATTTCAGATGGGACGAGAAGATCCATGGTGGCGCTGAAACCTTCATCGTCATGGTCGAAGATGTGGACCTGCGTCAACATTACGCCAAAGACGAGCACAACGTGACACTGACTGTGCCTATGTTCGAGCCCGTGCCCTCCAACTACTACATCTCCGTCATCTCAGATCGTTGGTTACATGTAGAAACTCGGTTGCCAATCTCGTTCAAGCATCTCATTCTCCCCGAAAATTCCCTCCACCAACGCCTCTCCTCGATCTGCAAGCTTTACCTTTGTCGGTCGTCCACAACAAAGGGTTCGAAGCTATATATTCTTCCTCTCTCAAGACCTTCAACAAAATCCAGACCCAAGTGTTCCAGGCCCTCTATACCACGGACGCGAATGTTTTCATAGGTGCCCTACGGGTAGCGGCAAGACTATTTGCGCCGAATTTACTCTATTACGACGTTGGAGCAAACGAGAACAACAACGCCGCAATCTCGTTATCTCTCGCACGCGTTACGTCGTTGACTCGGAGCACCATTGTCGCTTGTGGTGTCTCTCTTGCCAATGCACGAGACCTGGGTGAATGGATAGCTGCGCCTTCACACGCCATCTTCAACTTTTCACCAAGGTTAGTCTAAACCCATGCCCCTACATTCCATTTGACATCATTTCAGCGCTCGTCCGCTCGACATGGATATTCATATCCAATCATTCACCATCCCACATTTCCCCTCCGAGTCACCCATGATCGCCATATCGAAACCAGCTTACCTCGCAATCGTCGAATACTCACCCACGAAGCCGGTCATCGTGCTTGTACTTTCGCGTCGCCAGTGCCGCCTCACCGTCGACAACCTCCTCACCCACTGTGCTGCTGACGACAAGCCTGACCGCTTTTTAAACGTGGACGACATCTCTGTCTTGACACCACATCTCGACAACACTTCCACGAAGCTCTGACCAGCAAGATAAGCGTATTGTGCAGCGGCTATTCGAGGCTGGTGCCATTCAAGTCTTCGTAGCTTCAAGGGTGAATACTTACATTTTTTTTGACTCGACTTGACTGATATCTTCTCAGAACACAGCCTGGAGTCTCCCAGTCGCGAGTTACCTCGTCATTATCGCGTACCGTCCCTACGAAGGCAGAGAGCATCGATATATCGACTCCCCTGTCATGGACGTCCTGCAAATGATCAGCATCACGGATCGAGAGTAGTAGAATGCCTGAAGCACGGTACCGGTTACCCTCACGAAGCTTCGAACAAGACAAGCGTATTGTGCAGCAATTGTCCGAAGCCGGAGCCATTCAGGTCTTGGTGGCCTCAAGGGTAAACCGTCACTATTTTCGCTTGTATTCTATGATCTATAACATCTTCCTAGGACACTGCATGGAGTCTCCCTGTAGCGAATCGGAGTTCTCTCGTCATCATTATGGGAGTACTATTTGCTAACTTCGATTTGCTTCACATCCATCCTCATCGATATCATGTCAACAATCCCCAACCCGGGAAGAGATTCGCTTCCACGAGCAGCCTATCCAGCTCGACTTCTGGCTCGACGCGCTGTAGACTGTCCTGCCGGCTGCTGAGAAGGTGCCCAACTATCCTGGCGCGTTCTACCTCGACCTGCTCGAGCGCGGTATGTCCTCCCCTCACCCAATCAAAGTACTCTGATTAGTCTCCAGTCGCCGTCTACATGCGTCGCCTTACCCTGACCAAAGGTTGACCGACTGAGCATCTCACGGCTATTTCCTCGCTGAAATCGCCGTCACTTGCAGAACCCATCGAGAACAAGCCGGATGGTTCGTTTTTCTTTCTATCTTATTCCTTTTCTCATTTGTTCTCTTACAGGATCCCATTGAAGTTAGATAGCGACCGTACAACAACAGCGGAAACGAGATGGAAGAGTAGACTTGTCATGTACATGTATCACATATTGCTCCCATTGTTATTGTATTAGCATGTTGGCCAAGTCAACCAATCGAGATCGAATTCGGGTGGTTTCGCTTCAGATAGCTTCGCCAAAAAGTTATCCCATTTCAGTTTCATCAAGCAGGTTCTTATCTTGGCACAAAACGATCGAACTCTGTTAATTCTCGACAATACACTGAATACAGGTCTCCGACTCTCCGTCCGCTAAACCAACAGGCAGTCCGAGAGCGCGAATTGTGCAGCGGGCCTGACCCACGTCGTCTTGGGCCGCTGAGAGATCTCTTTTGACTTCCTCTAATTCACTTCGCAAAATGTAGAGATGTTGCAAAACTTCGTGAATGCGTATTTCGACAACTCGTTCTTCGGAAATGCATCTTTGCTTCCTGGCTTGGAGAAGATGAAGCACACTATCTGCTCCTTGCTCAGTGGAGGGGAAGCACAGTGTGGTGTTTTGAAGATTCAATTTCTGTAAACCGACTTAGAGTTCAGCACACATGAGCTGGAAAGGGCCTTACAAGGAGCTGCTTTCCATCTGCCCTTACACAGTGCA